TTGGGGATAGCATCCTCAGCCAGGGGGATCTGCCAGTAGCCCTTACACAGGTCTATGGTGGTCAGATATCGCCCCCTGGCAATACGATCCAGTAATTCGTCTACCCGGGGCATTGGGTAGGCGTCAGTGGTGGTCCGCTCATTGAGTCGCCTGTAGTCCACACAGAACCGGGTGGTCCCATCTTTCTTGGGCACCAGGACTACAGGCGAGGCCCAAGGGCTGTCGGAGTGCTCGATGACCCCAAGCTGAGTCATCTCCTGTATCTCCTTCCGCATTCCTTCACGGACTGCTTCAGGGATACGGTAGGGGGGCTGTCGTAACGGGGTCTGTCCAGGGGTCTCTACCTTATGCACAGCTGGGGTGGTATAACCTGGTTCCTGGGAGAACGTCGCCTGCTTCTCCCATAACAACTGCTGCGCCTGTACCCTTTCTGTGGGGTTCAACCGGTCCCCTAGCTGTACCAAGGTAGTAAGGTCAGTCTGGGAATCCCTTTCTTATAGATCGGGAAGGGGTAAATTCTCAGAATCATCTGCAGCTGGGGCACATACTGCTGCAATATTCTCAGGTCTCTCCTGGTACTCTTTCAGCATGTTCACATGAAAGGACCGCTGGATCTTCTCATCTGCACAGCTGGCTATCAAGTAAGTAGTGTCGCAGATCTGCGCCACTACCTTGTACGGGCCCTGCCAAGATGCTTGCATCTTGTTGGCCTTCACAGGTTTGAGCACCTTTTGCCCAACCTGGAAGACCCGCTGTCGGGCACCCTGATCGTACCATCTTTTCTGTCTCCCCTGGGCCGCCTGGAGATTCTCCCTTACCATCAGGGACAGTTTCTCCATGCGGTCCCAGAGTTCCAGAACATATGGCATGATGGGGGTCCCCTCTTGCTCCGTCTCCCCCTCCCAGTGGCCTCTAATGAGATCTAGGGGTCCGCGGACCCTTCTCCCATACAGCAGCTCAAAGGGGGAGAACCCAGTAGATTCCTGGGGCACCTCTCTATAAGAAAATAATAGATGAGGAAGGAATCTCTCCCAGTCTCTGCAAGTGTCTGTAAAGGTCCTCAGCATCTGTTTGAGGGTACCGTTAAAGCGCTCGCAGAGACCGTTAGTCTGTGGGTGGTAGGGTGAGCTAAGTAACGGCTTAATGCCACACACCTTCCACAGCTGCTGGGTGAGCACAGCGGTGAATTGGGTTCCCAGGTCGGAGAGAATCTCCTTAGGAAACCCGACCCTAGTAAAAATTCTAACCAGGGCATCAGCAACCGTCTCTGCCTCTATGTTAGACAGCGCTACTGCCTCTGGGTAGCGAGTGGCATAGTCCACCATGGTAAGAACGTATTTCTTACCTGATGGACTAGCCCTGGCCAGTGGACCCACGATGTCAACGGCTATGCGGGCAAAGGGCTCCCCTATAATAGGCATCGATAATAGCCTAGCCTTAGGGTGGTCCCCCCGCTTCCCTACCCGTTGACATGTGCCACACGTACTGCAGTACATCCGCACAGCCTGGTTAAAGTTTGGCCAAAAGAAATTCTGTGAGATCCTATAGGCTGTGCGGCGGGACCCTAGATGTCCGGCTAACGGAACATCATGCCCTATCCGCAGAATCTCCTGCCAGTACTTTGCAGGTACCACTAACTGGCGATTCGGCGGAGAGGCAACACTCTTCTGGGAAGGTTTAGGGATCCTATATAACCTGTCCCCCACCCACTCATACCGTTCCCCATCTATTCCTTCCTCTCCAGCATCTGCCCTGTCTTTGTACTTTTGGAGGGTCGGATCCGCCCGGGTTTCCCTCCCAAACTCCTCTGGGGAATCCCAGCTTAAGGGGACCTGATCTGGGGTACCAGTCGGGGAAGGAGATCTTACCTGGGTCTCATCAGCAGGTGGGCTGGTTCTGGCAGCACGGGCCTGGGCACGGGTGGTCACTGTGTTCACATCTGCAGGGCCCATCGGAGCATAGGCTGAAACCAAAGGGGCCAAATCGTTTCCCAGATGAACATCTGCGGGCAAGTCTTTCATCACCCCCACATCCACATGTCTAGCGCCCACTCCCCAATCCAAATGTACCCGGGCAACAGGTAAGCGAAACACAGCACCCCCTGCTACCCTTACTGCCACAGTGTCCCCAGTGTGCTAATGCTCTGAGACCAAGTTCTTTTGGAGTAGTGTCATCGTGGCTCCTGTGTCTCTCAACCCATTTACCACTCTGCCATTCAGCTTCACGGTTTGCCGATGTTGCTGGCGATTATCCTGGTGAGCTGCTTGCACTGGGTCTGCCTCGTGTAGGATGCCCCAGAATTACTCCTGCTCTATGCAGTGAGCAGCAGGCTGAGGTGGGCGCTGGTTCCCATTGACTGGTCTCCTCCAGGACTGAGCTTGGTTGGCACTGTTCAGTGGGCACTCCGGACGCTTCTGCCCCAACTGCTTGCACCCAAAGCACCGGATGGGTTGGGAATATTCACGGGCATTAAATTGTGAGGGCTGTACAAAATTGTTAGCTGGCGGTGCGGCTGGGTTACGGTGTACTGGGGGCTGGTAGACTGAAGGAGCGGGTATTACTGCTGGTCGATATTCCAGTCTGGCAGGGGCTTTGGCAGCTGTACCATCCAACTTGCGGGCATCCGTGTATTCGTCTGCCAGACGAGCAGCCTCGGGTAGGGTAGAGGGTTTTCTATCTCTGACCCACTCCCGGACCCCAGCAGGTAATCTATCAAAGCAGTGTTCCAGCAGGAACACTTGTAATAGCTCCTCCCCAGTTACCGCTTGGCATCCAGCCATCCAGTGGGCTGCGGTACGATGGACTCTGCAGGCCCATTCCACATAAGAGTCCCCAACCAGCTTGTTGGTTTCTCTAAACCTCCGCCTGTACGCCTCTGGGGTCACCGCATACCTGGCTAGGAGCGCATCTTTCACAGCCCGGTAGCTGGTGATCTCCTCCTCTGCAATGGCCCGAAACGCCTCACTAGCCCGGCCAGATAATTTCCCAGAGAGGATGGTGACCCATTCATCAGCAGGTACCTGATGTAGAGCACACTGCCTCTCGAAGTCCGCTAGGAACCCATCAATCTCTCCCTCGGTTTCCACAAAATTTTTAAATGCAGCAAAAGATACCTTCTTTCTAGCAAACACATTATTATTGTAAGGTACCTCTGCTGCTGTAGCTCCTCTTTCCCGGAGCGCCTGTTGTGCTGCTACTGCTGCCTGCACACGCTCCACGATGTCAGCTGAGGGGTTGGGGCCAAAATGTGCCAGCCTTATTTGCACTGCCCGGTTAAATTGTAATTCCTCGGGTGTTAAATCCAAGGTACTGGGCACGTTGACTCTCTCCATTCCCGTTGCTGCATCCATCTCCAGTAGCAAAGCAATAATCTCCCGTTTCTTTAAATTGCTTGCTGACCTTCCTCGGCGTTCCAATATGTCCTTAAGTGTAGCACGCCTTAATTCCTCATACTGCATGTCTTGTAGCTGACCTCCAATGCTGTGGGATTCATCCCGTCGCTTGCCACCAATTGTTAAGACACCTCCAGTGTCTTTAGGCAAAACCGCCGTTTAGTAGACCTTCCCCGGCTGCAATATCAGTAACTCCGTTCGCCTGACCTGTAGTGCACGAACCAAATGCAGGGGAAGCGGCAATCTCCCGACCGGGATCCGTGAACGGCTCCAAACTCCCGAACGGCAATACACGAACTGCTGCTAGCCGCCGAACAATAATATTCACCAAGCGGCTTCCGTTCCATCCAGCAGTCTCTAAGCGTGAAGAAGAAATCCCCCCAATAACGAGACAGAAGCTCCGCATTGAGGGTCAAACAGGATCTGGCTTTACTGTGGGCTACCTGCCCGTATTTATGCAGGTCTCCCACTTGGTAGACACTCCCCTAGGGGACCAAATGGGAGACTTAAATGACAGACAGATATGGGGACATTCCAGACACACAGTCACAGATTTTACCCACAGTGCATTATGATTCCCTCCCCTCTGCCCTGGAGTTAATTACCAAGTAACTCAATTAACTCCAGGACAAAGCCAGTCGCCATCTTAGACATAAAATAATAAAGACATAAAAATATATAACTACATGAAAACTGACCATTTCCCATTCGTATTACATGTCCCCAGATAGCCTGGATCTGAGTGCATATTATTAGCGAATAGCGCTCAGATCCCACACACATAGTTCAATCGCCATGGAGTCAAAGTTCTTACAGTCTTTCAGTATACGAATGACTCCATGGGAAGGCTATCTGGGTTAAGTCTTTTCGTATGCTCTCAATCTCCCGAACGGCCAGTATTTGCATGCTTTCGTGGAGGCAGCCAGGCGTTCCGTTGTTTCAGCGGTGTTCGTCAGAAAAAGTGTCCGTTTTCAGTTCCATAGAAATAGAGCCAAACACCGCTGGGCGTTCGCTTGATTTAAAATGGCCGCTGCCTCGTGGTCGACATACGAATGACGACCACCCTGAATTCGGTTTAATTGAGAAGTGTCTGCGGTTAACCACAACGTTTTAATTGGGATCACTTCGTTAACCAGCAGCACACTCCTCACTTGGGTGGCCGTTCGTTTGGCAGGTTTGTTCGGGAAAAAGAGTCATTTGAATGGCTGGGCTATAGAAACCAGCCATTCATACGAACGGGAGACAAACAGACGAATGCAGAGTAAAAATCCAAGCAGAGAGATGGTTCTGTCACAGTCAGTATGCCTGTCAGTGTGTGTCAGTGTGTGTGTCAGTGTGTTTGTCAGTGTGTCTGTCAGTATGTCTGTCAGTATGCCTGTCAGTCTCTGTCAGTGTGTCTGTCAGTGTGTCTGTCAGTATGTCTGTCAGTATGCCTGTCAGTGTGTGTCAGTATGTCTGTCAGTGTGTGTGTCAGTATGTCTGTCAGTGTGTGTCAGTATGTCTGTCAGTGTGTGTGTCAGTATGTTTGTCAGTGTGTGTGTCAGTATCTTTGTCAGTGTGTGTGTCAGTATGCCTGTCAGTGTATATGTCAGTATGTCTGTCAGTGTGTGTCAGTATGCCTGTCAGTATGTGTCAGTATGCCTGTCAGTGTATGTGTCAGTATGTCTGTCAGTGTATATGTCAGTATGTCTGTCAGTGTATGTGTCAGTATGTGTGCCAGTATGCCTGTCAGTGTGTGTGTCAGTATGTCTGTCAGTGTGTGTGTCAGTGTATATGTCAGTATGCCTGTCAGTGTATGTGTCAGTATGTGTGTCAGCATGCCTGTCAGTATGTCAGTCAGTGTGTGTGTCAATATGCCTGTCAGTTTGTGTCAGTATGCCTGTCAGTGTGTGTCAATGTGTCTCTCAGTTTTTGTGTCAGTTTTGTGTCAGTATGCCTGTCAGTGTGTGTCAGTATGCCTGTCAGTATGTGTCAGTATGCCTGTCAGTGTATGTGTCAGTATGTCTGTCAGTGTATATGTCAGTATGTCTGTCAGTGTATGTGTCAGTATGTGTGCCAGTATGCCTGTCAGTGTGTGTGTCAGTGTATATGTCAGTATGCCTGTCAGTGTATGTGTCAGTATGTGTGTCAGCATGCCTGTCAGTATGTCAGTCAGTGTGTGTGTCAATATGCCTGTCAGTTTGTGTCAGTATGCCTGTCAGTGTGTGTCAATGTGTCTCTCAGTTTTTGTGTCTGTGTAAGTATGTCTGTCTCTATGTGTCTGTATATCTGTGTATGTATCTATATGTTGTCATTGTGTGTGTATCTGTATGAAGTCTGTGTGTGTATCTGCCAGTGTGTCAGGTGTGTATATGTGTGTCTGTGTAACTGCATGTGTGTCAGTGTTTGAATCTTTTTGTATGTCAGGATGTGTATTGGTGTGTCTGTATGTGTGTCAGTGTGTCAGTGTGTATCTGTATGTTGTCTTTGTGTGTTTCGCTGTATCTGTATGTTATGTTATTAGTAAGTGTGTCTGTTTATCTGAATGTGTGTCAGGTTGTGTATCTATGTGTTAGTGTGTGTATATCTACTTGTGTGTTTGTGTGTGTATATGTGCATACTGTAGCGGAGATGCAATATTACCCAGGTTATCTCCGCTTATAATCCAAGTGAGACTCAGGAACAAGTAAATAGTAAATCCAAAGGCAGGGTTTCCAGCAGGTAAAATACAGCAATATCCCAACAGCAATCCCAATAACTGGACGACACACAGTTTCAGGAGCATAACTGGCAAGCCTTTAATCACATTCTCCTTATAAAGCATGCTCCCATGCAAGGGAGGAACTTACAGTAATTATTACAGTAGCCAATCCTGTCCTGGTAACCTCCCACACATCTCCTCCCCTCAGCCAGCATCATAATCCCCTTATCCAGCACACCAATTCCCCCCATTTCTGGATGTACCACTAAACGTAGGTGTACCTCTTTAAATCATACATCCCCTGGTAGCCCTGATCTGGGTGAACAACATATCCAAAAATCACCCAGATCAGACCAGGGGTTCGGGAAAAGTATGGAGGGAATAAAATGACCGACCGCACGAACTGAGATAGCCGAATTCGGTTCCATGTGAATGGGCCTTGCGGTCGGTCCTGGCATAAGGGAATAAAATACACGAAAAGCCTCTAGCTATAGAGGCTAGGGAGGGTTCGCCTGAATCCCCTCGTTCGGTATTCTCTATCTACCGAACGAGGGGCCGTTCGGTAGTTTGGAACCGAACGGACCAGGGCTGTGGAGGTCTCAGCGGTGTTCGCCTACTCGAGTGTCCGATTTTAGTTCCAGACACTCGACGGCAAAACACCGCTGTTCGGGAGTTTTAAAATGGCCGCCGCCACGTGTTCGTTTGTCGAATGGCGGCCACCCCCGAGAACAAAGGACGGCTACTTACTGTTCAATTACCCGTTCGCAACAATGTTGCAACGGGTAATTGAGGACACACTTCACACAGGGGAGGTCTGGTTGTTCGGTAGTTTCATTCGAATAAACTAAGGGAATGAAACTACCGAACAATCAGAGGAATACAATTCTTTTTAATACACAGAAAATACAGCAGATACACGGATGCAGCTTTATACAGTATTTTTGTAGGGTCGCCTGGTGCCATCCGCTACACTGCTCCCCCTTGCCCACAAGCCGGCATACACAGTCTGATCCAACACGGATCGGCTTGGGGATGTCCGGGGAGGCTCACGGATCATTTCTCTAGGTCAGTTTGTCGAGACAACCCATCAGCATTTCCATTCTGTTTACCCGGGCGGTACTGGATATTAAAGTCAAAGGGCTGCAGCGCCAGACTCCAGCGCAGCAGCCGGGCATTGTCCCCAGCCACTCGGTTTAGCCATACTAACGGGTTGTGATCCGTGAGCAGGGAAAAAGCTTGGCCGTACAAATATGGCTGTAATTTCTTCAGGGCCCACACCACAGCCAGGCATTCTTTCTCGATGGCGGCGTAGCTTACTTCTCGAGGTAACAGTTTCCGGCTGATGTAAGCCACGGGATGTTCTCCGCCATCGGCCCGACTTGGCTTAATACTGCTCCCAATCCAAACATAGAAGCGTCTGTGTGGACAAGAAAACGTTTAGTTGGATTGGGAGCTGCCAAGACAGGGGCATTTGTCAATGCATCTTTTAACAACTGAAATGCCTGTTCACACTCCGGGGTCCAGGTTACTTGGCGGGGTAGGTTTTTACGGGTCAAGTCGGTGAGAGGTTTGGCCAGGGCACTGTAATTCGGGACAAATTTCCGGTAGTATCCGGCCGTTCCTAAGAACGCTAACACCTGGGTCTTAGTCCTAGGGGTGGGCCATTGAGCTACAGCCTCTACTTTGGCTGGTTCCGGCTTTTGCTTGCCGCATCCTACCCGATGACCTAGGTACTGTACTTCAGCCATTCCTATGCTGCATTTGGCTGGTTTCAGCGTTAAACCAGCGGCCCTAATCCTGTCTAGGACCGCTCCTATATGGGTCAGGTGTTCCTGCCAGGTATTGCTGAAAATGGCAATATCGTCGAGGTATGCGCAGGTATAATCCTGGAACCCATCTAGGAGGCGGTCCACCATCCGCTGAAAAGTAGCCGGGGCGTTTTTCATCCCAAACGGCATGACCTTAAATTGGTACAAGCCGAATGGGGTGACAAAGGCCGACTTAGGGATGGCGTCTTGTGCCAAGGGTATTTGCCAATACCCTTTACACAAGTCAATTGTGGTGAGATAGTGCCCCCTCGCCATCCAATCCAGGAGTTCGTCTATCCTGGGCATAGGATAGGCGTCTGATACCGTCTTCTCATTTAATCTCCGGTAGTCTACACAAAACCGGGTCGTGCCGTCCCGCTTTGGTACTAGTACTACCGGAGATGCCCAGGGGCTGTCAGAGGGCTCAATCACCCCCAGCTGGAGCATCTCATCTATCTCCTTGCGCATGTTCGCCCGTACCGCTTCTGGGATGCGGTACGGGGTCTGACGCATGGGAAGTTGCCCTGGGGTGTCTACTCGGTGAGTGGCCAGAGGAGTGTAACCAGGTACATTAGAGAAGATATCCTGCTTCTCCCTTAACAGCTGTTGTACCTCGCTCCGCTCCTGTGGGCTCAACCGATCCCCCAGGGTGACCTCCCCTAAGTCCCCGGATAACTGACCCTCTCCCAGCAGATCCGGGAGAGGTAAACTGTCAAACTCCTCGGAGTTAGGCGCACATATAGCGGTCACTTCCTCCGAGCGCTCCTGGTAGGGCTTCATCATGTTCACATGGAGCATGCGTCGCCCCCCAGTACCAACGCACGAGCCGATTATATAAGTGGTGTCACACCGTTGTTCCACCACCTTATAAGGGCCCTGCCAGGCGGCCTGCAGCTTATCGTGTCGGACAGGTTTTAAGATTAACACCTTCTGCCCGACCTGAAAGCTACGGTCCCTGGCGCCCCGATCATACCATGTGCGTTGGCGTGTCTGAGCCGCCTGCAAATTCTCGCGTACCGTCTGAGTTAAGGCCTCAAGGCGGTCTCGGAATGCCAACACATAGGGTATGATGGGGGTACCGTCAGTGCTCCGTTCTCCCTCCCAATGCTCTCTGATCAAATCTAAAGGCCCTCGTACCCTGCGGCCAAACAATAGTTCAAATGGGGAGAACCCAGTGGATTCCTGCGGCACCTCCCGGTAAGCAAAGAGGAGGTGTGGCAGGAACTTCTCCCAGTCCTTGTGGGTCTCTGCGAAGGTTCGGAGCATTTGTTTCAATGTACCGTTGAAACGTTCGCAGAGCCCATTCGTCTGGGGGTGGTAAGGGGAACTAATGACCGGCTTAATGTCACAAAACTTCCAGAGGCGCTGCGTGACTTCGGCGGTGAACTGGGTGCCCTGATCGGAGACAATCTCCCTGGGGAGTCCCACCCGGGAGAATATCTTCATCAGGGCTTCGGCTACTGTCTCAGCCTGTATATTCGTCAGGCCCACCGCCTCTGGATATCTAATGGCATAATCTACTACTGTCAGGATAAATCTTTTACCTGACGGGCTGGCTTTGTTGAGGGGTCCTATTAAGTCCACTGCTACCCTGCTAAAGGGTTCCTCGATTATGGGGAGGGGATGTAACTTGGCCTTGCGCCGGTCCCCCCTTTTCCCCACCCTTTGACAGGTATCGCACGTGTTGCAATACCTGCGCACCTCCTGGCTAATTCCCGGCCAAAAGAAACTTTGGGTTAACCTGTATCGGGTCCTGCTGACCCCTAAATGTCCAGATAGCGGAATGTCATGGGCTATCCGTAGTAACTCCGCCCGGTACCGCTGAGGTACCACTAACTGCCTCATCACAATCGGGTCTGACCCGGATACCTGCTTATCCGTCTCCCGATATAACAGCTGGTTGTCCCAAATAAACCTTTCGCCCTCCCCCCCAGGCGTGTCTGCTGTCACCTTGTCCCTATACAGCTGCAAATTCGTTAGGAGGGGCCCAGGGGACACAGTCAAGGGAAGGGGAAGGATCTCTTACCTGAACCTCCGGGAGTGTGTTGTAGTCCTGGGTGCGGGCCTGTTGTCGAGTGACCACAGGGTGAGCTTCTCCTGTGGTGGGTGTCTGGGGCTCAAAAGCAGATGTGAGCCTCCCCAGATCGTTCCCCAATAAAACCTCCGCCGGTAACTGCGGCATCAACCCCACCTCCACATGCCCTGCCCCCGCTCCCCAATGCAAATGTACCCTTGCTGTGGGTAGCCGGTATACTGCTCCCCCGGCTACCCTGACGGCCACAGTCTTACTAAGTTTAGCTTGGTCTGAGACCAGGTGACTTTTTACCAGGGTGATGGTGGCTCCTGAGTCACGTAGCCCCTGAACCGCTTTACCCTCCAGATACACGGTCTGCCTGTGATGCTGGCGGTTGTCTGCGTTAGCCTGGACGGGATCTGCCTCGTGCAGTACCTCCCACTGCTCTACTGTGGTGATAGGAACTGCTGAACCATACGGTGTGGCCACGATGTCCTGGTAGTGATGGGCTGCGGCGGCTCTCGGTGGTGGTGGTGGACCGGGTCGGATCCAGGTGGAACGGTCCCGCAGCTGGGGGCATTCCCTTTTATAATGTCCCCACTTCTGGCAGTGGTGGCAAGGGCCCGACGTGGGCTGGCGGAAACGTGGCTGTGCAGCGGGTGGTGGTGGTGGTGGCAGTGACCTTGGTAGAGCTGGCGTGTAGTTATTTCCCCCAAAGGTTTTAAAATGTACTTTTGGAGCTGCAGGTTTTTGCTGCCTGCGTGCATCCAGGTACTCGTCTGCCTTCCTGGCTGCTTCGGTAAGGGAGGTAGGGTTTCTGTCTCTTACCCACTCCTGTACCTCGCTGGTTACTCCTTCATAAAATTGCTCCCGCAGTACCATTTGCAATACATCCTCCATAGACCGTGCCTTGCTCGCTTGCACCCACCCCAAGACTGCTCGTTGTAGTCTGCATGCCCATTCAGCATGTGAGTCTTTCTCCACCTTCTTTAAATCCCTGAACCTCCGCCGGTATGCTTCTGGTGTTATAGCATACCTGGCCAATATAATTTCTTTCACTTTGTGGTAATTCCGTATTTCGTCATTCGGTACAGTCCGGTATGCCTCAGCTGCCCTCCCAGTTAACCTCCCTGCCAAAATAGGTACCCAGTCCTCTGCGCTGATTCTATGCAGTGCACACAGTCTCTCGAAATCTTGCAGGAAAGCGTCTATATCTTCCTCTGCCTCCACATATGTTTTAAAAGCCTGGTACGGTATTTTCGGCTTACCTTCATGTGGCATATTTACTGCAGAGCTGCGTTCTGGGGCCGCTGTTTGACTCCTCAGTATAAATTCCTGGACCTCCGTTATCGTTTTGGAAACAATCTCTGTTGGAGGGTGTTCCCCATAGAAAGACAGCCGAAATTGTACCTGCCTCTGGAACTCCCTTTGTTCCGGTGTTTCTCCCGAATTCCCCTGTTCGGGAACCGAATCGCCTTCCATTCGGTACTCCGCCATCAGTTCAGTGATAAGTACCGCTTTTGTCTTATTGCTGGCTTGTATACCCTTTGCCTCCAGAAGGTCTTTTAGCGTGGAGCGTTTTAGTGTGGCAAAATCAATCTCCATCCGTACTCCATTTAGGCTTGTTCCTCTGTGAGTCTGGATCCCAGCGCTGCCAACCAATGTAGCGGAGATGCAATATTACCCAGGTTATCTCCGCTTATAATCCAAGTGAGACTCAGGAACAAGTAAATAGTAAATCCAAAGGCAGGGTTTCCAGCAGGTAAAATACAGCAATATCCCAACAGCAATCCCAATAACTGGACGACACACAGTTTCAGGAGCATAACTGGCAAGCCTTTAATCACAGTCTCCTTATTGTGGGGATATTTATGGGATAATAATAGTAAACAGTTGAGAATTGCCCACTAATTCAATTCTCAGATCCCAAAGAACGTTTATCGTGTTAAGTGAAAAGTATTTCATATAAATAATCACAATGTATAAAAATAGATTTTTATTTATATGACAAATTAATAATAATAATATTATATGTAACATGCATAACAATAATCAATGAATATTCAGTATAAAACGATATGCAATACAAAGAAATGGGTATTACGTTACAATGGCTAAATAGCATTTCCTGTCAAGAATTCTGACGATTTATGAGGTATCCTTACACAGATTGAAAGTGAAACTTTTCACAGCGAAGAACAGAATTCCTCAAAGTGCAGCGTGAGGTCGTAAAGTTTAGCCGACAGTTAGAATAACCCTTTCAATGCTGGCTAGATCTCCTAGGTAGTTAAGATCTATTCTTATGTAATTTTTAAATAAAATAACATTTAAACCAGTTCATTAGTAATTTTCTTAAAATCATCCAATAAGAGAATTTACCATTATATAAGCAGATTTTTAATTTGTCTAAAAGATATCTATCTTAATTTAGAGCAAATCAATACACCTGGATAAAAACAGCGGTATGCTAACACGTGATAATATCACATCAATATATAATTATTCTTAATTCCACCTGCAGAATGGAATGTTTATAACTATATATTCTTAGTTAACTAAGATTTCTTAATATGGAAATCTGACCGTGCTTTATCCAGTCATATATAATGCTATTAATAAATTTTAATTAATTTAATTTAATTAAATGAAACCAGTATAATTACCAGTTGAGTAGATATTTCATCCGATTGGTAGTCTCTCTGCATGGAGGTGTTGGTTAGAAAGTCAGTAAATTCTAAGTGTTAGAGTTTTAGGAGTAGAGTGTTAGTCTCAGATGTTGTCCGAGTTGGAGTCCCCAAACTTCCAATTCCTCTCTCCTCTCCTTTGCATATCTTGCATCTGCCTCCTCTCGTCTCTTGTATCTTCCCTTTGTCTTAACTTTTAAAGGGCCAGACTCTCTGTACGTCATCAGTTGATAACCCAATAGAAGCACTAGAGGTGTGGTTATCTTCCAGATCGCAAATTAGTTATTTGGTCTATAGAGGGCAGTCTTGTCCCACTAAACATACCTATCCAGGAAAGAGTTAACTTTTCCTGGTGGCCATTTTGACGTCATTTTGCGTTATCTAGATAGTGGCTATAATTTAAAATTTCAAAGGGTTTCTTAAATTTTGTCCAGACTTAGCGTCTGCAATTCCTGCCATAATTTCTGATATGACAGATCATGAACTAAGTTTACCCTTTTCCATACAATGGTACCTTATATATATAGACAGTTAAATATTAAATTATTTAATCTTCTCTGTCACAATTGTCTGGGTTTAGATTTGATTATATTCCATTAGCATTTTAGACAGTCTATCCAACCCCCGTTTCTGCTTATCACTTGTTTATACTATGCATTCCTTAGCTCTGGCAAAGAGGCCAGTCTTACAGAAAGAAATCCTGTGTCTTTTTTTTTTTATTATTTGAAAATAACAAAATGGAGTCTGATCTGTTCAGAGTGACTCAGAATATACACTTTTAGTTTCTATCATAGCACAAGATGTCTGCCGATATAAATACTCTGACATAACCCCCCTTTAGTGCATTTCATAGCCAAAATTAATTTAGCTTATGAATAAGCACTATAGAAGTTACCAGACATATTGTGCAATCACATCATTTCTAACATAGGCCCGTGCGTGGAATGAACATTTCTGTATATATTTGTACCTGTAAAAGTTTTGAACTTTACGCTTAGTACAATCAACCATAATATCATTATTATCATAGTACATTGTTTTCATTTGAAAAATGTCTTTGGGAGTTACATATGGTATGGTCAATAAAAAGCAAATCTCCATACGTTCCGGATCAATTAAGAGAGGTATTGTGCTCCCCATCTCAAAGGCCAGATTTAATTGCATAGGCTCAATTGTCTCTCCATCCACACTGGCAAGCATCGCATGAACAATATCCTTGGATACAAAGTACAGAGGTATGCGTCCCCCTGCCAATTCGATCATTCCAGTTTGCACTTCGTCAAGAAAAGCAAGTGTGTGGAACAATATTGGGTCATGCAGAAATAGAAGTTCACGCTTAAATAAGTCATGACTTTGGTGCAACTCAGTGGATTTGGCAATTAACTCCGAATGCAAATTTGTTGTAACAACTGTGTCTTCCACAATAGTTAACACGTCTTGGAGAAGTGTTCTTTGCTGGTTTATCACCTGATGAATATCGTTAATGTGTTGCTTTAGCGCATAGATTTCCATATCCAGCTTTTGGACAGTAATAGAGTTGGCTGCAGACATTCCAGTTGCGACAACTGCACCGACAGTGGCACAAACTAATGCAACAATTATAGCGGTGAGGAACCTTTTGGATCGGTTGCTCATCGGAATAGAACTGGATACAAATGGTTTCCGGGCTTGCTCCAAGATGTTTCGCACGCGGTCCTGTGCTCTTTGGAGGTGCATCTGGTACCAAGTCTGTAACTCAGGAAGCTGCATCGATGAAATGTTGTATGCCTTCTCGATGGAAATCTTGGGGTCCAAGCTGACGAACACACGTCGGGTCAGGATCCTCTTCTCTGTTAAGATGAACCCTGGTGTCTCTTGAATCAGGATGCCGGAGGATGGTCCCATCTCTGCGATCGGGTCGGTCCGTAGCTCTTGGCACAGGAGCAGTACGATCCAGAAACACGCCACATCCTTCTTGGACATCCTTCGACAGTCACGGATCAGGAACTCGTTTCAGACTTATCTACTAATGATTCAAGGTTTGTTAAGCATACAAACTTATAACAGTATGATATCACTTGGCCTAGGATAACACATTATTACGATTCATCAACATATGTATTCTGTCTAATTCTATTTTTATAACTTCATCCCTCACTACATTTATTACTGACTCCTCAGCAATTCGCCTATAGCAGTTAAACAAGCTAGTAACCTGCTTATAAAATGTAGTTATTGGATGGCAAGGAAATGGTTAATGACATGAACGTACATGAGATCATGGCACATCACAAGATTTCACATCATACTATACCACGTGAATCAAGCATTCATCCAGGTTAGTCGTTCACCCTTCTGCGTCTGAATCCACATCTATAATCCTTAATTGAGATTTAGGATGACAAGCACGCAACTGGTTAATGTGAACCCACCTTTCAATAAAATCACCATCCTTAGGAATTTTTATCTTGTACGCTACTGGGGAAATTTTGTCAATGATGACATATGGCCCTTTCCAAGAAGGTAAAAATTTATTTTCCTTAACTTGATTTCGCACAAAGTTATACAGATAGACTTGATCTGTGATTTCATATTCCTTTTTCGTGGTCTTTAAATCGTAATAGGTCTTAACCCCTGTCGCTGCTTTTTCTAGATTCTTTTGGGCAAAAGCAAATGCATGCTGTAAATGCTTGCGCAAATCTTCGATATACTGATGCGTAGTGGCAGCATTGATCAAGTTATGATCCGAAGTACGATATAGTAAATGCTGTGGTAAAACCATCTTTCTTCCTGTCATCAATTCAAAAGGTGACAATTTGGTAGCAGTGCTAGGTGTGGCTCTAATCGCCATTAAAACTAGGGGCAATTTAATGTCCCAGTCTTTACCAGACTCCTTAACATATTTCTTCAGAATATTAACGATAGACTGGTTATATCGCTCTACCCCCCCGCTAGACGCAGCGCGGTATGCAATATGTAGCTTTCGTTTAACACCTAGAATGTTCCACATCTTAGCCATTACTTCGCTGGTAAAATGACTACCTCTGTCTGACTCAATTCTTTGAGGCAGACCGAACCTGGAAAAGACATGGTTAATCAACAAAGTGGCGCACACGGTACTCGTGTTCTCTTTACAAGGCAAACATTCTATCCACTTTGTGTACATACATGTAACAGTTAACATGTATTTGTTACCTCTTGAAGATCTTGTTACAGGACCTATAAAGTCAATTTGAATATCAGACCAGGGTAATGACACCCCCCTCTTCTGAAGTGGTGCACGATGGGTTGGACCATGGGGTTGATATTGCGGACAAATCAAGCATCCCTGACAGTATGTCTTAACATCCCTTAACATGTGTGGCCAATATGCATAATCACGCAATATCTCATATGTGATCTTATCACCACGATGCCCAGATGTAGGTGCATCATGTGCGTGTTGGAGCATTAACCCTCTGTATACAGTTGGGACTACCCATTGTTGTATACCATGTTTAGAAGTTCTGACCAGTAACCCATCCATGATACTAAATTGGACTTTATATCTCATCAAGATTCGTAAATCTTCATTATCTTTGCAATCCTCATCTGTGATGGGATTGGCAGTAGGGTCTTCTATATGTCTATAGAATATGCCTATGACGGGATCATTCTTTTGACTGGTAATCAGGTCCTCGCTAGGAGCTTCTTGGCTCCATTGCACGACATTTAAGTCGGCATTATCTCTAGCCTGTCGCCTAGTTATGGCTTCAACATGAATTGAACCCATAAGATCATCAATGTTTAGGGTTTCACCATTGATGGCAGCTTGTTTTGCCAGTGAATCGGCTAAGTCATTACCATCCTTGTCAATACCTTCTATTTTAGAATGGCCTTTGGTTTTCTTCCAATATATGGTTAAACCAAATTCCTTAACCAACTCATCGATTTTACAAAACAATTTCCCATGTTTAACAGGTTTGTTATTGCTTTTCAGCATTTGGTTACGTTTCCAGCTAGGCAGATATTCGACAAAACTGTTGCGAACATAGTTGGAATCAGTTATAATAACAAATTCTTTAATACCATATTCTATTGCCATTTGAATGGTCTTATATACTGCACAGAGTTCGGCTATCTGACTGCTTTTGGGACCAATATTGTATCCTATAGATACATTAGGATAATCACCTGTCCAGGCGATTCCGATACCTGCAACTAACTTCCGTTCAGCACCAACGACGTGGTGATATGAACAACCATCAATGTATACCCACGGTAGTGGTCGACAGTATTCCTCGTCATAAACTTTATAAGGAGATAGCAATTGCTCTTCTAGGAAGTCATCTCCGGTGTCATTATCATCCAGAGATGGAGCAGTACAGTCATGTAATTCTGCTAAACCTTGGGCAACTGGGCTTCTCTTATTATGTGTATAACGGACTTCTAACGGCCATCCCTGTAAGGATAGAGTCCATGCAGTAATCCGACTGTTAGAGAGATTACCGTCTCTAATTCTTTCACTCTGCAGATACTGTAGAGGTTGGTGAGCTGTTTCTACAATTATTTTCTCACCTTGGAAATAGCTACGAAAACAGGTGACAAAGTCTTGCTAGCATATGCAATAACTTTGTTTAAACTGTCCTGCTTCTGATACAGAACAGCACTTATGCTTAAATCGGTATAACCTGTCTCCAGATAGAAGGGTTTACCCCCCTCTGGGTATGCTAAACAGGGTGCCTGAGTGAGCTTCCTCCTCAGTTCACTTACCGCTTGGTCCTGAGGCTCCCCCCAGTTCCAGGTAGTTTCCTTTTTAAGCAGGTGTAAGAGTGGTTTTGTTATTTCTGCATAGTTATCTATAAACTTACGGGAGTAGTTAGTCATACCAAGGAACGATCTTAATTCCCTGATGTTTGAAGGTGTTTTAGCCTTTAGTACGGCTTCAACCTTCTTCCTCTGGGATTTAATCCTTCAGAAGTTACCTCATGTCCGAGGAAATTGACATGGGTGCGACACCATTGTGCCTTTTGTAAAGACAGTTTAATCCCTGCCTCCCTTAACTGAGTGAGAACATGTCTAATCTCTAAGATATGCTTATCAAAGGAAGTGCTTTTCAGCAAGACATCGTCGACATATGATAACGTTCCTCTCTCGAGTGCGTCAGGCATAGCTTTATGCATGAACCCAGCGAATTCATTACCAGAGTTTAT